GCAAATGGGATTTTATCCATGCACGATAACAGGGGTAAAATCTACTTACCTTCCCTACTGGTTCAGAAATGCACACTCCATTACATTATGTGTGCTCCATGCTTGGACCCTCTGCGCATGCACAAAGCCTTCTGCGCATGCGCAGAGGGTCAAAAATAGGTTACTTCCTGGTTAAAACCAGGAAGTAACAACATCCGGGCAGATGGGCGGAGCCTCATGCTGCCGCTGTTACCGGTTCTCCGAACCACGCGCCACCACCGCTACCAGTTTGGACCGTTTCACCCCTGCATGGTAACATATAGATTGGTCTGTTACATCTGAAATCTGCTAAACCAATGTTCATTAAATCTAGGATAGTGTTCACAGATGACATGCCACAACATTTTGGGTGACGTACCAGTGTTCACCAACACCTGACAACTATTCTGATTTTTATAAAGATTTATTATAATATAAAATACAATGAAAATAAAGATTAAGAGAGATGTGGGATAAAAAAGGGTAGGGAAGCATTGACTTTCAACTCTTTCCAATACAGTGAAATACTACTGTTATAGCCTCCACTTTTTGGATTCCATTTAGCTATTACAAGCCATTTCTATAGCTACACAATTATTCAACCTTCAATTGAAAGTCTATGTTTCTTTTTTTATTATTCCGAGCATAGAAACCAGAACAATTTTCCAATGGAAACAGGACCAAATAAAATCTTTCTTTAAAACAATTTACACTGCCATCTCAACCAGATCCATTTTCCCCTATCCATTTTTTCCTGTTGTGAGAAATAGAATATTATTTTATTTGCACTTACTAGATTTTTTGCACTGTCATTATTTATAATAGCAAAATTCTTTTAGATTCTTTGACCAACAGCCATAAAGGGAAAAAATTTGATTCCAATTTTGTGTTCTTTTTAAAACACTAAATATTTCTTTAAAAGTATCGTCTTTACAGTTCAATTAATTCAAATACTTTATTTAAAAAGGGATTCTTTCAAATTATAATCCATTATTGGCTTCCCATTGTTCAAATATTACAAAAACAGACAGAAAATCCCTTTTCTTTCTCTTTGTGTTTTAAACATACGTGTTATGTTCTAATATTCTCAACTATTTTTGGCTATATAGCTATTCTCGAAATCATGCCCCATTCCTGTGTAATTTGTAGAGGTCACACAAATGGGTTTGCTCTTGTGCAGCCTTTGGCCCTTCCAGGAGTCACACAAGGGGGCTGTGCTCTCTCCTGGCCTTTGGAGTTTCAGAAAATAAGAGAACAGGGTTTACGTTTCAATGAGTTTTGGAAGCTGCAGAGGCCATGGAAAAGCATTCTCCAAAGCTGCTTCAAGAACAAAGGTCTTGTGCAACCTGGAGGAGAGCCTTGGGTAGACCACAGTGGTCTGTCAACAGAAAGAGGACACCACCTGAACATAAGCATTGTGCCCAGATCCTGGGGTACATTGGACCATTGGACACTCACGCCTTGGGATATAGCACGAACTGGTCTTTTCCAGTGGTAGTGGTGATACTAGGATGAAAGACTCAGGCCTAACCTTGGTTTTACCGAGTGCTGCTGTTCAGGATAGCCTGGAAAGTGGGAAGGTAGAGAATTGATTCTCTTCTGTTCAGGGGATGTGTGTGGGTGTATGTGTGGGTGTGTGAGAGAGAGACACTACCAAAGTAAAGTTTGGTACTTTCTGGATTTTTGACATGTCAAGCCCAAAATATGTGCCATCACTGATCTAGTGAGTGCTGCCAAATTTAAATCTATATATAAGTGGAATATTAACAAGGCAGTTCAGTGTAGTTACATTTTACCAGGCCTTAAACACTACCACAACCAGTGCCAAGGAAGCAATTAGAAAAAAGGGCTTTTTCGAAAAAACAAAGTTCACACAGAGAATTTTTTTTAAAAAATCACTAAGATATACAATAATTATGAAATTATCAAACTATTTTTCAATCTTGACAACTTTAAAATGTGTGCTCTTCAACTCCCAGAATTCTCCAGCCAGCATGCTGATTGAGGAACTGTGGAAGTTGAAATTCACACATTTTAAAGCTGAGAAATGCTGATCTACAGCATAACTAAAACAAGATGTTGCGAAATATCACACCAATATTAATACTATTTAATAAATCAAAAGCAGAAAATCTGGTAGCATAACTGGTTGGCAAAGGAATACTAAAGGAAAGTAAGGATGTAGGGAAACTAAATTTTATTTTGTTTTCACTGTAAATCCATGCTTTAATACTTTTTAGAAGAGTTTTAGGAATAGTACCATTGAGAGGGCACTGAGGCTATCTAAACTACCGTACTTACAAAAAAATGGAGTTCAAATTAAAGCACACAGAGATTCTGTTTCAGTAGCTCCTATGAATAAAAGCTCATCATTTCTTAAAATAATTGATCCCACTATTCAATTCCTTTATTAAGAAATTTTTAAAAAACCTGTCTTCCTACAGATTATTAGTCCACTATCTACTGGGATGACAGAGGAGGAGTTTGGACCTTTCATGCAATTTTTCTTCAGCTAGACTGAAGAAACCTCCCTCAAACTTCTCTTCTTAAAGTTACACATACACACAGTTTCTGCAAACCTTCCTACTGACCTTAATCTATTCAGATTAATTTCAATCTTCTTAAAGTGTTTTGCCCAAAATTGAACACAGTATTCTAGGTAATATCTGATCAACAAATATAGAGTAAAATTAATTGGAAGTATATTTTGCAGTCTAATGTCAAGAATGCCTTTTTATCACAGCATTCAGCTTATAATCAATTATAATTTCAAGATATTTTCTATAAATTCTGTTGCTGACAAGTATTCTAACTGTGTATTAGATTTCCCTCTCTCCTCCAAAAACAACAAATTCTAAGATTTAACAGAGGCAAATGCAATCTGTTATTTTCAGTTAATTTCTTCAAATTGTTTTTAAGTTTGATATTTTCTAGAGTAGTTATACTATCCCACTTCTAGTAATCTGCAAATTTTATAAGCATATATTTCAGTTCCTCATCCATGCCATTAATATACAGTAATAGGCCCCAAACCCAACCTTATAGCTTGTACTTGTTGTTTCCTCCAGTTTGAAACATGAATGAGAAATAAGCACTTTTTCAGTGCCATTTTTAAGCTAGTGGGTGATATATATAGTCCAATATTTTAGGGAGACTAACAAGGTGGAAGGATGTTTATCTCTTCTTTTACTTTCCCACATTAAACAAACATTTAATAATTCAAATACTACATTTATAGTCAAAAATCATTTGTTAGATTTAGATATACTGAATAGGTTTTATTTTTGTTTATACAAATAAACATATTTGGAACAATCAAAGCTATATCTGCATAAAATCCATAAAGCCTGTTATTATCTGTAGTAAATGTACATTTTATATTGGTTTTAAACAAACATTTTTGATTTGCAGAATTTAGCTGATCAAGAAAGATAACAATTTCAGAAAAAAGCAGCAACTACCAGTAATAGGATATCATAAATAATACCAGCTTTGTTTAGTAACTGCTTGGCACTTAGTCACTTAGATGACATGGGAGGTGCAGAAATGTAATAAATAACCTTATAGATGTGGACTTTCCTATTTAACCATTCAGAAATTTCCCAAATATCCTGTTAACACTACTATCTGTACGGGGATGGTTATATGAAAAATCTCAATAGCTTTTGCTATATAACAAAACAACTAGCTCATTCATCCAGTTACCAGTAAGAACCATTATATTAAGTCCCAACCAGAAACAAAAATCTTTCTTAGTTTTATAATTAACAAAGTCTGAAAGCTTGAACTCAAAATAACCTAGCACAGCCAGAGGGAGGATGGGAGGGAGCATGGCTTTTGAGTTTTGTAGTATTTAATTGAAAAAAAGAATGCTAATCTTTAGGCCTATCTTAGCTCAGGCATATGAATTTAGTACTTCACTTAGAAGGGAAAGAAAAATAACACGGAAAGGATGCAAGGTATCTTTAAAAAAGAAGCAAAACTGAGGAAGTTTTTTTCAAAAACAGTATTATGGAAAGCCTAACTTTCCAGTTTGTTTACCGAGTCTTTCAAAGCGAAGGAACCTGCTTTTATGGATCAATTTATGTTGTGATAGTATTTAAACCTGGCAAAGAAAATTCAAAAACATCAAAGAAAAAAAAGGGTGGCTATAACTTTCCTCAATATATTATTTCAAACATGCACTGCCTACAATGCATCACTCCTAAAGCTTCACATTATGCGGGTAGTCCTCGACTTACAACAGTTGATGTAGTGACTGTTCAAAGTTACAACAGTGCTGAAAAAAAGACTTGACTTTTTTTCACACTTACGACTGTTACAGCATCCCCACAGTCATGTGATTAAAATTCAGTTGCTTGGCAAATTATGTCCCAGGGCAACATTATCACCTTTTGCAACCTTCCGTATTACTAATTTAACAACTGTGGTGATTCACTTAACAAATGTGGCAAGAAAGGTCATAAAATGGGGCAAAATTCACTTAACAAATTTTTCACTTAGCAACAGAAATTTTAGAGTCAATCGTGGATGTAAATGGAGGACTACCTGTAATAGCTAATCTGTTAGGTCCATCAAGTGAAACCAATGAAACTGAAAGCTTTTTACATTCTCCCTGGATCTTTTTCCTTAATAATCTGGCATTTTTCACGCAGCTGAATGCCCCAAGTGACAACCATTAAGTTGTCCAGCCAACCCTGCTTCAAAACTAGGCTGGCTGAGGATTATGGAAAACCAAAACATTAAACCCAGGTGGAATTTATGCACACCTTTGATAGTTAGAAATAGCCATGTAGCCCCCCCCCCCTTACTGGGTGGCATCGAAATGAATTAAATGGATAATTAAGTACAGTATTTATCCAAGACAGAAGCAGAAGCTGGAATACCAACTTTCCTGGAGAAAGGGCAGTGAGTTCTCACCCAAACAACCCCACATACTCCCTCCCCACCCAAGCAGCTAATCTAAGATGCCAATCCCTTACCTGCAAAGATCTGCAAAGGCTTGGAAATTAAGCTTCTTGATTTTCTTCTCGCTCAGCCAATAACCCACCCTTTTCCCTTTCAAGAAGGTCTGCATCTTGTTGCCCCCCTTCAGCAGAGCATGCCGTTCTTCTGAAGAGAGAAGAATTGGGAAGGATTCCTCTCCTCCCCTCTCGCCAAGGATGCCGACACCTTACTCCGAAGTAATTACGGCCGTTAAGAGGACACCCGTTTTCGATTTCCAAAAAGAAAAAAAAAAGAAAGAAAGAAAAAAGCCTGGAACTAGGGAAAAGGCGAAGAGGGGGCCCAGTTCTTCAGCATTTCACCCAGAGGCGGCCACGGGGGGCGAAAGCACCGCAAGCCTCGGCCGGAGCGGAGAGGTAGGGATGGAAGAGAAGAGGAACCTCTCAGCAGCCATCAGGAAACTTCCTCACGCCATCGACGGGGCATGGCCGAGGCGGGGAGGCAAAGGAGCGAGGCGAGCAGCAGCAGCAGCAAGTTCGGTGCAACCCTTTTCTGCAGGCCCTCCGAGAGGCTCGGCGAATCCGGAAAGGTTCCGAGCCGGCGAGAAGGTTGCCTCCGGCGGAGGGAGAGCTTTCTCTTTCCACCCGCCCTGGGTGAGGGAATAGATAGGAGGGGTAGAGACGGCGCGGCTGGGCTTTTTTTCTGGGGAAACCGCCGTCTGAGGCGGAGGCGGCGGCACTTCGGAGTTTATAAGCCAGAGCCCCGGCTGGGTTGGGCTGGGCGGCGGAAAGGGGCGAATCGAAACCGCTCGCACGGCTCAGCTCCTTCCTCCGGACCTCTCGCAGCCTTTCAAGAGCTCCATTTGCCCGCTATTCTCCGCCGCCTCTACTTCCTCCTCCTCCCGCCTCCGCCGCCGGTCTCCTCCTCTCTCCACCTCCGACACCGAGGGGAGGGGGCTCAAGAACACACCCTCCCCCTCCTCCTCCTCCTCCTCGCCGCCGCCGCCGCCGCTGCTATGGCACCCGCGTGCGGAGGCGCTTGCCCGCGAAAGGCACCGCCGCCTTTCTCCCTGCGCAGGAGCGGCGGCTGGCTCGTCCCTTACTGTAGTCTCCGCGGGGGTGGGGGGGTAATCGAAGTTCGCCTGTCGGGTTTTGGAGGCTGCGGGGAGGGAGGTGGTTGATTTCGCCGAGCTGATCCCCCTGAGCGTGGCTGCTCGCTTACTCGGAAGCGAGTTAGCCCCTTAGGCTAACACGGCTTACTCCCGCGTAAAGAAAACAAGAGCCTTTAATAATAATAATAATAATAATAAATAAAAAACAAACACCCGCGCTGCTCCCTGGGCGTCCGCTTGGAGTGCTACCAAGCTATAAAGGCGTGAGGCAGCTGTTCCGTGAATCTCCCCATTAACAGGTTTTATTTCGAGGGGGGGGGAAGGAAAGGGTGGGGGGGCTGAGGAGAAGAAAACCGGGGAGAAAAGGCGGAAAAGGCTCCCCAAGAAGGATGGCCTCATCTGGATTTTGGGACCAGCTGCGTCAATGGGGCGACAAAAACCTGGTATGGAAGAAAAAATAATAATGGGGAAAAACCTGGTATGGAAGAAAAAAATAATAATGGGGTGCCTTCTGTAATCCCCCACTTTTCAGATTGGGCTGAAGGGAGGTTCTTTGTAGCAGAGGAGACCTGTTTGTGTTGATAGTGTTGCAAGTAAGAGCATTCTAATGCAATGCAGAAAAGCCACCCTTCATCATTTTCTGAAAAGAAGAGATAAAGAGGCAGAGAACTCAACCTTGAATTCCTTCTAAGACTTACGCAGGGACAACACAAGAGGCTGGTGTTGTCAGGTATATGGCTATAAGCTAAGGATCTGACCATTTATTGCCTTTTGGCCCTAGGGAAGAGCAAAGACAAGGATAAGAGACAAATATGCAACTGGTTGTACTTCATCTTTGCTTCTTTTCTTTTCTTGTCTTCCCTCCCTCCCTCTTGTCCGAGGATATATCTTTTAAGTTTTGTGCATTATGTAAAACAATCTTGTCAAAACTAACGTCATCCAGTAGCTTTGGATTACACCCCATACAAATCTATGCATCCTGGTTGGAGGTTTGTAGTCCAAGACACTTGAAGGGCACCATGATGGACAAGTCTAAGATTACAACTGACTTTAGATATCATTGTAACCCATTATTTGCTTAAATTTGACTTAATGGATAATAATTGGCTGATTTCCTACAACAAACTAAGTAGTTACAGTAGCTGGGTTCACACAATTGAGTATGTCAAAAGTACACTCATCACATTATGACTAAATTTGATGTGGGACTCCAACCAGAAGGACACAAAATTATGCCAGAGCTGACAAATTTGGTATAAACCCCAGTTCCAGATCTCCAAAACTATGGTTATTTTGAGGTAAAACACTATAACAAAACAAAGTTTGCTTCAAATGCAAATAGGCTAGGGGATAAAATGATGGTGACTGTGTAGCCAATAAATTCCAAACTTTATAATTTAACGTATCGTATAACATGCTTTTCTTGTGTCATTTGGTCAGGCCACGTGTATCTAGGACCTTGGACTTTCTAGCCACATTTGCTGGGTGGAGGGACCAATCCTATAATAGTTATATATTATATAACGTAAGCAGAAGGCAGCTATTGTAAAAGCATATAATTTTGCAAAGCCTCTTTATTATACTGTTCTTTTATTTATTTGAAACTATATGCTTGGACTAGGCCAAAAGCCAAAAATAAGCATATGCTCAAATTTAATTCAGAATGGGATTTTTTTAAAGCCACAATTATTATCAAACAGTAGTTAGTATGTTGAATTAATAATTTTTGCTTAACCATAGTTTTCCCTTGTAGACATAAATTTCTGAACCTGAGCCAAACCTATCTGAATGTATGCTCTCTTCATGATTCTTGGGCAAAATTTATAAGAAGGTAATAAATACAGACTACACTCACATGATAGAATAAAAGAGTGCAAAAATATACAAAGCCATTTTTAGACAGTCATATATGCACAGTTTTTTTAAAAAAACTTGCAAATGCTATATGAGTTAGTCAATTGTGGAGCACGTACTTGGGTTTCAATCTCATTGAATTGAAATTACTGAACTTTGATTGAAACATAATGACAGAAGCCTTTCCAACCAAAAAAATATTGCCAATCATAATAGATACTGCATTTCCCCGAAAATAAGACCCAGTCTTATATATATTTTTGCTCCAAAATAAGGACTAGGGCTTATTTTTGGGGAAACATGATTTCAGGGTCATCAGCCAAGCTGGACGCCTCATCCCTGGCACATACACAAGAGGCGTCAAGCGCTTGGGGACTGACAATATCCGGCAGCAGCTGCAGCCCGCCAGTCCTTTGGTTGGTGCACTCAGGCTGTGCAGCCGCATAGCACAGGTGAGTTCAGCAGCAGACGGAGGCAGAGTGCAGGGGGGAGCAGGTGATGCAGATGCGTTGTGCAGACTGCAGGAAAGCTGAGAGTTGGTGGGCTAGAGTGGCTGGCCACGAGAGGCTTGTTTTCACACAGCGGCACGGGGCAGAAGGCAGGCAATGCCAATGCATCGCCTGGGCTGCAGGCAACCCAAGGGACACAAAGATGAGCCTCCCGCAGCTGCCCTCTGCTCCGGCCCACCAACTGGGTTTTCAGCACGTCCAGATCATGTGCTTCCCCCCACCTCTGCTTCCACCTGATTCTTGGACAGATAACCAATTCATCTGCGCTGAATGAGCTTTGGCTGTTACCAGACACCGTCGGCCCGCACACGCTTACCGCCTCCTGTGCTGGACACACACACACACACACTTCACTAGGACTTATTTTTGGGGTAGGACTTATTTTGGATTAGGGTTAGGGTTTTAACACTAAAATGAAGGAAGGGCTTATTTTCAGGATAGATCTTATTTTTGGGGAAACACAATAATACTGATCAATAGGGAGATAAATATAGCTTCTTATTAGGGTTGGTAGACAAATATTAGCATACACTTTAATTCTTGTGTTCTGCACATATACACAAACTGAAATCAGTCATCTAATTTTCCCAATTGTGAGATGCATTTCACAAAAAATTGAGAAAGCTAGATTTTGAAGAATCAAAAATCATGATAAAGATTGGAGGAAGAAACATTAGCAATCTTCGATATGCTAATGATACAACTCTCCTCTCAGAAACCAAAGAAGGCCTGGAACGTCTGCTCAAGGAAATCAAAAGAAGAAAGGGAGAATTTTGGGCTCTTTCTGAACATCAAAAAGACCAAGCTCATGATCACTACAAGGAATGGAAACGTTAAAATAGAAACTGGCAATGAAGAGATAGAATGTGTTGAAAAAAATAATTTTCCTAGGATTGCGGATTGCTCAAAGTGGTGAATGTAGCTCAGAAATAAAACATTGGATTGCACTATGATGATGAACACGAGCTGAATGTGGAAAAGCAAGGACATCAGCATGGCAACCAAATGTAGGTTAGTCCACTCTAGTGTGTTCCCCATGGCCACCTATGATTGTGAAAGTTGGACCTTAAAAAAGTAACACAGGAAGAAAAGTGACTTGTTTGAGCTATGATGGCTGGAGAAGGATCCTGCATATACCTTGGACAGCAAAGGTGACTGACAATCACATACTGGAGAGATAACATCAGACATGTCACTGGAAGGCAAAATCATAAAATCGTCTGTCACTTATTTTTGCCATGTCATGCAGGAGAATTCACTGGAGAAAGTAATTATGTTTGGAAGTGTTAGCGGCAAAAGGACACAGTGGCTGGACATCATCAAAACTGATACCAGTCAGAGCATAGAAAAATTCAAAGAAGTAGTGCAAGATCGGAAGTGTGAAGAGACCTGGCCCATAAGAATCGGACACAGCTGAATGGATAACATCATCACCATCACGTTGGTAAAAATAAAATATAACAATTCTATTGGAGGGAAAGTACAAAAAATGTGCAAAGTATAATAAAAATGTGCCAGTTTGGAAGTGTTTGCATATTTTGATGCAAAACAATTCACAAGCTGATAAGAGCAAAAAGATCAGCTCTGAAGTCAGGAAAATTAGAAACTAGATGAAATCAAACTACAAAATGTTTATTTCTATACCATTAGTGTTTCTTCTCCCTTTAATACCTTACTAAGTAGTTTGAAACTAATCTGCTTTCATCTTCAGTTCTGTCAATCTCAACATGCACCATGAACCGATCAGTGCTCATCCTTTCCCTTCAGCAAACTAACAAGAAACATATCATTCAATTGGTATCATGTCCCCTGAGCTGTCACAACCATGAAATAACAAAAGTCCATTCTTTCTACACAAAAGGGGTATAATTGAATTGCTATGATTTATAAAATTTGCCTCATAATTTGCCCTCAAAATTGGAGAGGCCGCTGTAGAGGATATCATCATTCAAGAAAATTAATTGTAAAAAATGTTTTGAAAAGCCTCCTCCACCCCCACCCCCCCAAAAAAAGCTTCCTAGCTATTTTGGCATTATTTCTTTGTTATACTTAAATTATAGCATATCAATCTATTTTAACTTAGGCATTTTTCATAATGGTTATGAAAATTGCGTGTTGTCATAATGGCTGGATTGGTGTTTGAGAAAGATAAGTGTTGAAGTCACTGGAACCTCCAGGAATCAGATATGAGATATCTGGATGTTGTGGGTGGACAGGGTGGAAGGAAAGGAACAGTAATGATGACTGGATTTAGGAGGAGGAGTGAGGCAAAAATTCCTGCAAAAAAATGGCTCACCCTCACATGTGCAATCACTAATAGTTACTGTAAACAAAAGTAAAAACAAAAGCACTTCTCCCCCCCCCACACACACAAAATGACATTGTGACAACAATCGGATCCAAAGACAGTGCCCAAGAGATATAAGATAGTGGCGTAGGAGTGCCCAATTTCACCTATCCTTATTTCCACTGCTTTCAATGGTCATGCTGCAAGTATGAAGCTGTTTGGAATTCACCTCCACTT